AAAGCGAGTCACAAGAGAGGCTTTAAATATGATTTTATATTTAAAACATCAGAATCTCACGGATCCTCTTCAAGAAAAACGAAAAAGACCGTTTTAAATATAACTCTTTATATTTAAAATAAATATAATAAATTCTAGCGAAAAGCGAAAAGGATCACTTTAAATAGAATTTCGCGTCCAAGATGGACTTTGCGAGTTTCGATCCCAACCGTCTCGTTTACCTCTCCGTCGTCGGCCTACTTTAGTGGAGTTTGTTATAAATATCCAACGATTACTTGGGCTCTTTAATATTTTACTTCCTTCGCTTAGTTTATTTACACATTACCTAATACGCGTTGGGACTTAAGTTAAGATCCGCCTTGCGCATCCTTCGCGCCGATAATACATAATAGCTCGTAATAGCTTCGCTACTTACTGATAAACTTAGCCTAGGTATGCTTTCTTTCCGCATCTATCGGTCATCATCTCAGGGTCTCTCGCATCCTCGCTCTCGGCTCTCTCGATCTCTCGCGCTCGCGCTCCACTTTACATTACAAGGTATTCCAACATGTACAAAGCCCTATTTACATTTATGTACATACGGTTCTCGCACTCGGAGTCCTTCGCGACATTGATAATGCTTCGCGTATACGTGTCCACGCGCGGTGTCCGTGTTCGTGCACGCGATGAAACTTCAGTCGGGACACTTCGAACTAGGACGCGTCTGGCCGCATTCTCGTCGCATGTTTCGGATTAAACGCGAGTGTGCTTGCCGTAACTTCATAGCGGCTAAGTTTAATTTTCTTCGCGCAAGATCGTCGTAGTTTTCACATTAAAGATGCGTCGAGAATACGGATTATTATCTCATCTGATACTGATCGACTTTCGAGCCTGTGACTCGGCCCTTGTTCTCTTCTTAGGCTCGCACGAACGTCAAACGGATGGAATGTGGATGTTTTCAACAATTATCTAGCAATTATATCTTTTAGTTGAGGATCACAATTCTCCCGGTTGTAAAAAATTATACACAAGCTATATATATACCTCTTTCGGTTTAATTGCTCTCGGGTAAATCAATCATGGTGAAACTTGAATTCTAAGCAGCTCGACTGAATCGTAATTGCAGTTTAAGAAATGATAAATCTTATAAGGAAATGCGGCGTTGAATCAAATTTGTTCGTAAAGGAATGTTGGCAACCTTATATATGTTGATTACACATATTAAAAGACTTTAAGTTACATAACGTTTTTTTCAAAGGCGACTATCCTGATACACTTGCCTGACGCAGGAAATCTCATAAAATTCTTTTGTACAACTGAATAATAATGCTTATACGTTTCAGAATATTCTTCGCAAAGATTTTCTTGATAAAAATTAATTTTTATATCTTTGGATATATTAATAAATTACTGGTAAGTAATATTAATAATGTTTTCCTTAAATAATAATTTTTCCGTGTTTTATTTAGTTTGATCTGTAAAAATTTATTTAAATTTTATTTTTATGATACATGTGTGATTTATATGGTTGCAGAGATTAAATTTATATATTCTACTTTTTCGCGAATTTCAATGAAAGTAAATATAAAGTCATCTCAGATAGCAATGTAATAATTCGGGATGCAATGTAATATATAATTTGGTCGTTCCAATTTAGAGCTCTTAGAATCTTATAGATTTTTAGTTAGCAAACAACGTCCGTAAAGACTATGCTATTTCTTGTATTAGATACTTGAAAAAATTTTTGCTGGACACATGTTTCAAAACGCCAGAATGAGCAATTATGTTTTACAATGCTCGGGACACATTTACACACTTAACATAGCTGGTACCCCTAACGCGATTATCACTGTTACAATTCTCCTACATGATGTTCTCATGAGCGAGAAATAAATCAAGCAACCACGAAATCGTGACATAGCGGACAAAGATACGTTGAACTTATCACACTCGCAATTTCTCTCTTAATTAAATTACTATTTTGTTATAATATAGATGAAGCAAATCAAAATGATTCTGTTAAATTAAATTCCAATTGAATTAAATCCTGAACTTTTTTTAAAACTTTTTTTTATATTAGAAACGAATTATGTCAATACAAAATATAAAATAAATGTTCAGATTTATAGAAAAATAAACATTCTCTCTTGCACAAGGAAATCGTAATTTAAGTATTTATAAGTATATTTAATTATTATAGCTATATTATATAGTCCACTCAACGTAATTTCATCCACAATGTACCACGTTAAGAAGACTATCGAAGCTCGCTTTCAATAGTCTCTTCACGAACATTGTCCGACGAAGATCCTCGTGGTTTTCGTCATTGAAGACGAGGGATAGTTGGAGAACGACAAAACTCCCACTCGACACAATTTCCGCTCGCGATATAAAACACTCGGGGATGACAAAAATAAATAGCGCGCGCGCGGGATCCCTTGGTTACACGATTAGCTTAGCTCACGCGTTCTCACGTACACATATACGGTTTTGTTTTAAAAAATAGTAAAAAACAGTGACTAAGTGTTTTCGCGCATTTTTCCACGTCGCTCGGGAAATCCGCTTGTATATCACTAATATTTACCCGCCCACTTACGATTCCTGGGCCCTTCTTAGCTTTTCTCTCACGCTTTCTCTCCCTTCACAATAATATAATATATCGTTACTGTGTGTGTATACATACATATACATACATATATATATATTTATTTATTCATTTTTATTTATAAAAATAACGTTCTGGGACTAAAACGCAACGTTCCAAAGCGGCGCGCGACAAGGAGCTGCCACATACGACTGATAAAGGCGCTCCAGCCATTGCCCCTCGATTTCTCCTTTGTTCTTCCCACATGGGAGGAAATCTAATTTCCGGCCATCAGCGCCGAGAACACGCTCGTTATTTGCTCGTCGAAACCAACCCGGCAAAAGCTCGTGCGAGGAACGCACCGTGTCAGAGTGAAGCCTCGCGCAGAATCGGCTTCAAAAAGAATATAAGCAAGTAGCTGCTTATATATTGAATTATAAATTGAAAAAAAAATTATAATAACGGGCATTTTCGTTGCAACAATTTATTAATTAAGATGCATTCCGGTTTATCTCAATTGAAAAAAAAGTATATTCGTATATAATCGAAATTATACATTTTCTGATAGTGAGTTTTGTTGAATTATCTCAAGTAAAGGAACGTTATAAGTTGACGGTTTATTAAATTTTAATAAATTATTTATGGTTTCGCATGAGGATACCAATTCATTTTTACACCTCCTTAGATTAAAAGCTTGAAAACTTAAAAAAATTACCGCATAAATCAAATTTCATCAATAAACACATCAACAATATGGAAGCATGAATATTTATAAAAAACAAGGACAAAATAATTTTATTATATTTCGACATTCATTATATTTAAAATATCTCTGTATTTTTTAGTTCTCCTTTATATAAAAAGCAATATTAATTTGTAATAATTTGTTGTGATTTTTCTTTTTAATATTTTATATAAAAAGTGAAAAAAACTACTCTTAAAACTGCAGAAAAATATTGAAAATAATTAAAATATCTTACGATGCTGTTTTACAAATATTGTTCATAAATTTTGCATAATGCGGTTATTCTGTACATTTATCAGGAGGCGCTGAAAAAGCAACGGATATCGTCACATGCGATGAGATTGTATGTTCCAGTCATATTACTTTATGTCACAATATAAAAAATTATGTTCGTTTATAAAAAGAAAAAAAAGAAAAGAAACTATCATTTGTTCATTAAATTCTAAAACATTAGACAACTTTCAATACTTCTTTTAATGTTAGGCGCGAAGTTATTACGTCGCCGCAGTAATCTCACCTTAGATTAAGATATCGAATCCTTTATTGAGCCATTGTCGATTCTGCGTAAGGATCGAGATACGGGCATGTTGACCCTCGGCTTGTCGACGATACCAGCGCATCGTTGACATTCGGCCGGCAGCGATATGTCTAGATCTATGTTACAACGTCTGCTTCTCTAGATTTGAGGGCCCACGCCGATTATCTACGCTTGAAAAGCTTTACATCGCCGAATACTTAACGGTATGTTGACTCGGAAGTGGCCGACAGGAAACGAGCTGGACGACTCGTTCGTCGCACTACGGCGGTACAAGAGATGACGTTAAACGACCGTATTAAACGCAGCTCGCCGTAACTAGATGTAAACGATACGTCATGTTATGATTTACCCGCGGTTTACACTCAACCACGGTGAGCCGTGTTTAACGCTACAATCAACACGACACCTAATATCGCCGAATGTGTGACAGCTGAGCCATCGGTGAATCTACTTACCGCACTGAATACCGGCTTACGATACGCGGTTTGTCGTGTCCCGTAACTCTCCCCCGACCCGTTTACAATCATGTGGTGATGATACAGGTCTGGGAAGGGTTGACGCAGATGTGCCGAGTATCACTCGATGCTCACGTAATATTTCCTCCCCCGAAGTCCGCCGCGCACGAGGATAGGATTCGATTCGATCTCGATAACACTGTTGTTGGATGTTATTGCTATACGAAGTGTATTGGATGAAATGATACCTACAGAAACGATGCGCAACGCGTATGCTTCCCGATTCGATCAACGAAATCATAACATATATTTTTCATATGTCACGTAAAACATATTTTGACATACGAATTATGAAAACTGGAAATCAACAATCAGCATACCTAGGAAGTTAGGAAATAAATATTCATAATTCTTTTTCTTTTTAAGAAAAGAATATCTATACATGTATATTAAAAAAAAAAGAAAACAAAAAACAATCTTTTATTTAAAAAAAAATTTAAACATGCAAACAAATAATGGCACTATGGCCATTTAAAAATCGAATGTAGATATTATTAAAATAAATAGAAAGAATTGATTAATCTGATAAAAAATTGCAGCGGTGAAGATATATATTGCAAATACTTTAAATTCCAAATAATAAAGTTTTTTTGTATTTCTATTGAAAGTGGCAGTTATTATTTTTGTAAGTTACAGTATCTGTGTCAAACAGAAGTTTAAAATTGATGTGTCGAATAATGTATGACAGACATTTTGCAAAAATTTCCACGAGCTGCTTTTTAACATCAAAACAATAAAACTTTGGTTCGTTACGCTCGTATGAAATCTACAAAAACATCGTACTTAAATCCAGAATATATCTTCTCGAAAGCCAATCTCCTCGCAATCGCTTCGGACTTCGCAAAAACTCTCGTCTTCATCAAGACTCGCTACGTTCTGATCTTTCTTCGCGCACTCGGTTCGCCAATTCCAAACGCCCGGCCACGACGGGCACGTCGTCGTCATCGTCGTCGTTGTCGTCGTCGTCGTCGTCGTCGTCGTCATCGTCGTCGTCGACTTAGCCTAAACGAGAGGTCCGCTACAATTGTTATACAGAGCCCGCGTCGCGGTGGTACGCATTCACGCACACATGTACACGATATATCTTAAGAGAAACGGGGCGTTCGTTGGACGTGACAGTCTTAGTTGGACGCCTACCGATCTCCGCATTCGTTCATTCTCTCTCATACTTCCATCCTTTCTCTCCCTCTCTCTCTCGCTCTCTCTTCGTCTCCGCTCGTTCGCGAGGAGACGTCTGATCAAAATTCCACCTGAACGGAGACAAGAGCGGCGTTCTCTAGAACGCTCGCGATACGTCGATTATGGCTAAAACGCGACGACCTGAATCAAGACACCGTCGCGCTTACGCTTGAGCTAAAAAGCGGCACGTTCGTCTCCCGCGTGTCCCCCTCGGTTATTATTCTCTTCAGGAACGAATCGTCGATACCATCACCACCGTCACCTCCATCACCACCACGTAGTCCCGGACCAGACAATTTACGCTGTTCTGGCTGGTCGGCGTCACCATCTCCTAGACGAATTCGTCGTTTTTTCGCGAGGGGACGAGAGAGGTTCCCCGGCCCAGGTCGGAACCTAACACTCGCTGTAGGACGGCGGCGGCATACCGCGACCCGTGTACATGTCCGTCTGCGGCTGTAAGTGACAGACGACGGTGTGCCCGTCCAGCACGGCCACCGTCCGCGTGTGGTCCTGCTGTGGCGGCATGCCGTATGCTGCCGGTAACCGCGGCAGATCCCCAAGCTCGTACCTGGCCTGCTGCCGGCGCAGTTTCTCCCAACAGGCGTTCAGGGTTCGTTCCACCCCGTACTCCGTCGAGTCGTAATGCGTGAGATTACCGCCGCCACCGACACTACCGCCGCGTTCCGTCATCGTCTGGCCGTAGTGCACCAGGTTGCGATCGGTGGCGGGCGAGTACGGAATCAGCGGTCGATGATCGCCGTAGCTCCTGGACGACTGCCTGCTCATATCGCTCTGTCGACGGCCGTCCTCGTCGGACATATCTGATACCTGGATCTCGCCAGCGCCGACGATACCGCCGATTCCACCGCTGATGCCACCGTTACCGCTGCCGTTCCCACCGCCACCACCACCGCCGCCACCACGCTCGATCTCCTCGTACACTGGATCATCCTCGTTGGCAAGACCGCGCGGCAAATGTACGTGCTGGCCGTGGTGACCGTGCAGTTGATGATGCCCGGCGATGCCGCCATTGCCTCGACCGTCTACGATTTCGGTATACGTATGGTTGTATGGCATCGCGGCACGTCTACCGCCGATCGTCCTGGTACCGGTGTTCATTTCGCTTGCATCATTCGGCCCGCGTCTTCTACCAGAGTGGCCGAGCGTCAGGGTGTTGTGCGTCCGCGGGGAATCCTCCTGCTCGGAGCCGCCATGTCCGGAATCGCGGGAGTAAGACTTAAAAGAAATGTTCTGTGAAATACTTGACGTTAGAATGAAAAGTTTGTGCATGAAACAACGAGGATGATAGAATACGTTCAGCATTTCCGCATATTTATTAATTAAATTCCGAATTCTATGCGTTGAAATAATTTTTGATTTTAAAAATATATAACACATGAAGGGCAACAATGCATATCTGACAATGAATGTGAAACATGAACCATGTCTTAGATAAACCAACAATAATTTTTATGAATGAATGCTGATATAATTATTATATGGAAAAAAATAAAACTTTGAAAATTATATAAATAATTACATTTAATAATATAATTTATCACTATATAGGTACCATTAATCATTTAAATGGAACTATCGGACGCGAAGGTGTACAACTGAGCCGTTTATTTTACCATTCGATTGATGGATTGATAAAAAATGTTGAAAATATCTTCAAATACTTGCATTTAATGAATCGTAAATTGACTTTTAACGTGTTTTATCTACACAGCGTACATTTGATTTACTTAAATTATTTAAGTTGTATATCAATTGTATGCCAATCTCACAAAAGATGTTTGTTAAAATAGATACAATATATTTTAATCTCTCCATCGCTTTAACTCTATTTATCTTAATTATATTTAACTCGCGCTACTTTCAAATGAAACGGCTCAATTGATGATCGCGCATGCATGAGAGGAGAGACGAGCGAGAGAATTCCACTCGCGTTATATGAGGACCGTATTTCACGGTTAATCATCCTCCTCTCTTCATTGTGCAGCCAAAAAAAAATAATACACAACGTAAACCAAGGCACACAAGATGAGCTACATACAATTCATGACAGGATAAATGGAGCACTGTGTTCTGATATAAAACGTCATAACCGTGTATTCACATTTGTTCCCGCGCGCATTACAATAAGAAAAAAAGAGAAAGGGACAGGGGCAGGTACCGGAACGTGGCTTATTCCACAACATCTCCGTCTCTTCTGCTTTTACTTTAGCCAACGCTCATCAATCACCAAGTTTTGCTATATCGGGATAACTTAACGAGCGTCATTAAAAGTAAAAGTATAAAAGAGATATGGGTAATTCTCAAAAAATCGGAATTTTTATGTCCCACACTTTTTAAATACATTTAAATATGTTAAAATATATCCAATTTTCATCACAGAGAAAGATTATAACTGAAAGATTATAATTTATATAGGCAATCAATAAAGTCTCCCCCCCTCCCCTAAAGTATTTATCATACTTCGAGTTTATTATTTTTACTAAGATTCGTTTAATGTAATATGAATATAATCTTGGTATTCATCAACTTGCTTTTTAATATTAGAATGAAATATTAATTCAGTTTAGATCAATTATTCACATTTAATCTCAAAATTCTTAATTACTCTGATCTCATTTTTCTGGTTTCCCTTGTCAAAAAGTATGAGGAAATTAAGAGATGTATCCAGGGGGCTGATGAAAAATGTTTATGTCTATTATATTTAAATATAGAGATTTTACATATTGTATTTCATAATATCATTTATTTTTATCATTATATTGTCATCATATTATTTATTTGTCTAGCTGATTTTATAACTAAAACTAACATGGTCCCATGGAATTTTAAGCTTATTACATCCCATAATTCAATGAAAAAGTGTGTGGATAAAATTACTATCAAATAATTCCTATTTTTTGAGAATCCCTCATATTAATACAATACTTACTGCATTAAAAAAAAGAGTTTAAGTACGAGAATGAAAAAAATCTTAATAAATATATGTCAATAATTAAACCTCTTTCCATTTACATAGATAAAGGAGTTGATTTATGTTTCAATAATTTATGCGATAAGTTAAATCTTTTTTATATAGATATCATAATAGCAAATATAATATCATTTTTCTTTCGATATGTGTAATCCATATCTTGGTATTGAAACAGACATCATTCTATAACTCAAAAGTGGAAGGATAGATAATCATATTTAGACAAAAGATTTGTTTTTATCGGTTGTTTCAATTGGTGTGTCAACAGAAAAAGATTGAGGGAAGACGGAGGTTTATAGCACAAGCTATGTCGCAAACATGAAAAATAATCACACTTTACACGTCAACAAAGTGTATCCGCATCGCCATGCTCAATATTCGGATCAGGTTCACTCCTAGGATGCGTAAGGGTGACTAGATGCTGTGCATGAGTGAAAAGTAATACCGCACACCATGCAGAAATAAAAGAGAGAGACCAAAAGATATACGGTGAACTGGAGACGGCTCTAATTTTAGCGAAAATAAATTTTGGCAAAAATATTATATTTTCAAGCAAGACTTTTACAACAAATATTTTCGTTGAAATCTTAATATTTCCGGAAATATTAAGGCGATAATTAGTACGATCCTCACAAGAGACAGCTACATACTCGCAGATACGAGAATAGCGATTTTCGAAGTATTTGTAAACGCGTGGATTATGTACTCGATTAGGGTACTTCTCATAAATGTAAGATCCTTGCAAATACAAAGACCATGGTTGAGTTTTGTAAATGCAAACTGCTTGCTGACGTGAAGATCGCACTTAGAATATTATCAATGCCAAAGCAGCGGTTTAGGAAATCCTTACAAACATACGGACTGTAATATCAGTGAGAGGTTTGCAAATATACGAAGCTACAATTTCGAATCGCGCCGTAGTGCGATGATGTTACTTTGGTATATATTATTCAAGAAGATTACTACTTAAAACAATTTAAGTCAATTTTACACTAAATTATACAAATTTTAAAATATTTAAATATGATACAAACGTAATCTGTTAATCTTTGAGGATTAAATAAAAGTGTTTTATATCTTTTGCCAAGATGTAATGAATGTAAAAGTTTAAACGATCGCGAAGTTCATCTTACAATAGAGCCGTCCCCGAGGTTGAGAAACACAGCGAGCGAATTTAGCGGTGAATTAGTTACCTTCCACATGAGGTTTTTGTTAAGGTGGCCCCAAGTGGCGGTGGCAGATTTGGGGATATTGGGAGCTGAGGGTAAGAAGGCGTGACGTGCGTACGGCAGGGTGGCCACGATGTGAGCCTCGGTCGAGGCGGGTTCACCTGGCACCGTTACTGCCGGCTGCCTATCGACTATCGCCCAGCTTCGACCGGATACCAAGTACTGCAAAAGCAACCAATCCGCCGTTCCCCCTTAACCCTTCGTTTACTGATGGGCAGGGCCAGCCTTGTCAGTGTTGCTCGTGATTTAGTGTATACGTGTAGGAATGGATGGACTATTCTCTGGATAATTATCCCATGCGTAATCATCGACCGAAAAAATCGACGTATTACTCTAAATGATTAAAATATTTACGTAGATTCAATGTAGCTGATTCGTGTCAGTAAACAAAGGGTTTCTAAGCTAAAAATCGCACTGATTTGGAGAACAATTCCGCTTCACCAGAATTGTAGAAAAGGAAACTGGATGAATATGTTATGATGTAGAAACTATGGATTAAAGAATTGAAGAATTTGCTATTTCTTTGAGAGAGTTTATTCTTGAACAGAATTTATACCCCTATATTGTTTGTTTTAACCGTTTCAATTCTGTGAATTCTAATCAAAGCAATATTCATTATCGAAAATTTAAATTTCTTTAATTAAAAAATAAATATTATTTTTTATATTTTAGGTAGAAAAGAATATCGATTTAATCTTTAGTTATCCAAATATGAAATACTGATTAATATATATTAATGATTAAGAAATTAAAAAGTTAAAAAAAATGATATTTAACACTAACGTTATTAACAAAAAAATACTGCTCTCTCTATTCTTGTTCATAAATACATCGTAAACGTAGTACAAGTAGAAATTAAGCCGGAAACACCTTAAGCTCTTCGATCGATGAAGCAACGGGACAAAAGAGACCTCGTGCACCAATTAGGATACATAATTGTGTGCATACGGGGAGAAGTGGCGCGTAGATTTCGCGCGACACGAGCAGACACGAGGGAGATATGGATACATCCAGCGGTATCTCGCGCGACGTGCGGTACCGGAAGCGGAACGGATTTAACTCGTGCAGGAGCAAATCTACGACGTAGCGCTCTGAGATACGCGACGTCGGCACGCACGCTAAAGGCTTTTCCTTGGACACATCGCGACCTCCTTCCCTTCAGCGGACGAGAGTTTGTTGCGCAAGAACGACATGTGATTGCACTTGTTTCGAGATCCTATAGGGACGGGTCACGCGATGGCTACAGCCGGACTTCCGGTCCGAACAAAACCTACGACCTGCAGTTCTAACACAAGTCGAAAAAGAGCGCTGCACGATATCTTTCGTTTGGATGACTCGTCTTCGTAATGTAAAGAAAACGACGAAAAAGTCAAAGAAGTTCTTCACACAAGGAATTAAATCATCTGATATTTTAATTTCAAAAATTAATTCGAGAGGGATAGATAATAAATTAAGATTGTTTTATACTGAATTTTTTAAATCCATACGTGATTGTGGATGGAGATTTTCGACGACAAACTAGTCCTTATTGTTTGAGAATAATTTTTCTATAATCTACTTCCCCTCATTGCGTGAATATGCGAACTGACAATAATCAGCAAAACGCATCCAACAGATAAGGAATAAAGAGAGAAAAAGAGCGAAAGTGGCCGGTGAATGAGCATGTGTGATGCGGTGAAGGTGTGACAGATGTAACGGATTGGTTCACGCGGATTTTCCTCGCCTGTACCTTTCTTTTTTTTCCCCTTCATTTTCCATTAAGTGACTGATCGTGTGGGTGAGTGCCTGAGCGAGCATTTGAGCGCCTTTAATCCTTCACACTTGAAACACAAATCCGATTACAGTTCTTTCTTGTTTTCATTATTATCACAATTATTAAATTTAATTTTTATAAAATTTGTATGAAATTAATTAAATTTATAGCTTGAACCTTCAGAACATCGCTTTTTAATAATACATGATAAAAAGCAATTTTTTTTAACAAACTGCAGAACGATGTTGCTCTCTTAAGTCGATATACAAATGCATTAATAAATATAATTTCGTAACGGTCTGTCAGTCAATCGGTATGACAAGTGTAAAGGATTAAACATATGTTTTTCAGCATGTGAAACACTTCGGCAAGACTTCAACGGAAAACGCAAAAAATTTTGCGTAAACAGTTGCATGTTGTAAGTGCAACGTAATGATCGTTATGCGTGAGCATTCATATTTTCAAGAAAACGTTTTCCATCAATCGCCTGTTTATGGGAGGAAAAAACCATTTAATTACTCGAAGCGCGTTCAGGCGGAATACGGAAGTGCCATGAAGTGCAAGAGAACAAATAGACGTGAAATGCGACGTGTAAGTGCTTGCATAGAGTGCATCCCTTCGTACTCCGCCCTTCGCGTGTCTAGTTGGAATTAAGTCCACTAGTACATTACGAATCTTTCTAAACGTATACCTTCCCCATCGTCGACGGAAGTTCGTTTGTTTAAATTCCTTCGTCGTGAACAATCTGGTTGACAATGCGAATAAGGTAGCACAGATAATTACTAAAATTAAAGTAAGTTTTTACACAAGGTTGTCGCGACAAATATCAAGAGTCTCTGATTATTTCAATCTTTACTTCTCTCAACTTTTTATATTCTAAGAAATTTTATCTTTTACGAATTTTTAAATTGTACAGAAAAAAAATTACGTCTCTCCCATAAAAAAAGATATTTATAAAAATATAATTTATATATATTACTTTAAATGTTAAATTTATATATTTATAATAAAAATTTATATATTTATAATAAATTGATAAGATAATTTTCTTAAAACTATAACCAACATAAATAAGATTATATTATAGTAATTTGCTTCAAATATTGTAGCTCTAATAAAAACGAGTAATCATCATTTTGCTGATTAAATAAAACTCGTCTAAATATATCAAATATGATGAGCAAAAGGATTAATGACAGAAGGCAATATAAAGGAAACACGATTACGAGGATGGTCGTAAATCAATGATTACGCGAGTGTATCTGATATTATTCCACGCATATTCGAAATTATTTCTACTGTGATTAGAAGAAAGGCAGTAACTGACAAGTCAAATTTATGTCTGTATATTTACTCAGCTCTTTTCATCATATTATAATTATTTTGTCAGCATGTTTTTATAAATTAAAAATATGCAAACGTCTTTTTAATAAATCAAATTAGTTAAATTAATCTTAAATTAGTTTAGAAATTAAAAGAGAGATGTAATGAAACATTTTTTTTTAATTCTGTCAATAATATCTATTTAATTAATTTTATTTAAATACTTGTCACATCATTCGGTATAAAAATTTAATTCGTTTACTAATATTAAACTATCTATTATTTAATTTGACTTACCATATTATTTCAACTGCAGCTATACAATTGCCTGTGTAAAATACTTGTTTCAGTAAAATTATATCACTTACTGCCTTTTATCTGATCACAGATTTCATTGATGATCCGGAAGGTCTGAAATAAACGATGAATCGCGCAAAATCGCGCTCTTCATACTGAGAAAGGGAGCGGGCTGGGGCATAAGAGGGTACAAAGTAGCCAGCAACCGCATTACACCAAACCCCGAAGCCAGATAAGAAGCACGGAAATCACCACTGTTAGTAGGAAGTCTTGCGGGCGAGCGTGCTCGCGAGAGTGCGAATTCGAATGTTCGTGCTGTGCCTGCCTCCCGCGCGTTATTTACAGAATGGGGACGTCGAGTCATTATCGAATCGATAATCTGGAAGCGACATCTCTTCAGTCGAATTTATTTACCAAAAAGAGAAATATATATTTGTTTCTAAGATTCTTTAATTTTAAAAGAGAGTTTAAAAATTCTTTACAGAAGAATTATTTAAACTAGCTTTGTGAGAAATAAAACTGGAACCACTAAATAGAATGATACTTGATTGTAAAGGCTACGACACACAAGTTTTAAAAAATAAAAATGATAATTTAATTATTGAAAATAAAAATATGGAAATGGTTTTCTCGTTATCAGTCTGACCTGAATCTGTTCTAATCAATGTAATAATAGTAAATATGACAAATGTATTTATTGTCATGCAGTCGGCATGACTCATTTCCGATTTACAAACAAAATGTATTTACGTTTCTGGACAACTCGAAACTAATTAAGCTAATAAACGATACTTCTAATTTATTCGAGTTACTTGAAATAATTTGGTATTCAAAATCCTATAAAAATTGTTACTTTGATATTTTAAATAAAGAACGCCAGATGAGAGACACTTTCTTAATTGGAAGTATAACAGGTCGTATTAACAAGGTGCTCGAATTAAATTGAGCTCAACAAAAAGAACCGAATCTTATTTATTCTTTTAACGAGCACAAAATAATGTACGAAATGTACAAAACAATGGCTTACTTCAAGAATTTCAACATGAAAGTTATTATGTGGAATAATCCATGAGGAAAACTTAATGCAAAAATATGTCATTTTATAAAATTGTATAATTAGAAAAAGAAGAAAATTTTACAGATTTTATCAAATTTCAAACTTATCATTTCTCTGTTAAAATTTAAATAATAAATGGATATTAGTTTATATAAAGAATAATTTAATTTTTAGAAATTGAAGAATATATATGTATATATATATATATATAAATATACATATTGCATCGCGAAATGAATTTTACATTACAAATAGAATGCTATAAAAAAATTTTAATTTTAAAATAATATTAAAAATATAAAAATGAAAAGAGCTTGTGCTTAAATTTGTATTTTCGTATTTTCGAAATTTTTTTATTTTCATTTTTAACATTAGTGTGTTTTCCTCTGACTGACGTTTTCCTACAAACTGTCCTATAACAGTATACACGAGCACATTCAATAATCTCTCTTCCAAATACATTTTTTGTTTCGCCAGTTTCTCTGTCTCTCTTTCTCTCTCTCCTTCTCACTCTATTTTTGTCGGCCAATTCTCTTCGACTCTCTGAACGCGACAGGGTCGAAAGAGCTGAACGGTTCGTTAAATGCCTTTTAGTTCGCCGTTTTGCGAGTCAGTTTTTGAAGTGACTTGCTGATAACACCAAAAAAGCTTTCAGGTTCATGTCGGTTTCGAGCGTTAAAACCGAATGTACACTTATTAAACATTATTTAGAAATATACGCTTTAAAACGTAATAATCTGACATACTCACAGAAAATCTAAATCTCTGTAAATTAATTTCTATGATATACAAAAATTATTTTTAAAGAATAAAATTATTAACTATAAAGTTACAATCGTGGCAAATTAACTTTATATATAAATTAAAAAATTTTTAAGTAAAAACGAATATTTATTCGAAAGTTTACGATTACAAATAATTTCTAAGGGAAAAATCAATAAGTGTATACTAGGCTTTATTTGTAAAAATAATCAAATAAACTAGCAGGACCGTCTACTTTACATACATCCTGCAACAAATTTAATGTAATATATTAAGAAAAGAGAAAAATTAATGAAGCGTTACGCTTCAATTTAAATTCTGTTATTTGATTGTTAAATCTAATACATCATAAGCATGAAATCGGGAACCAAGTAACTACATTTAGCGTTAAATGCGTGACGAACCAAGATCTATTTACACACGCTGAAAGGATCAAGAGAGACAGACAGAAACTGTAATTCACGCTGAGAGACAATTAACCGTAGCAACCTTTCAATTGTGAAGGGGCAAGTTTAAAGGAAGGCAGGCTGAGTTCTGAGCGACAGGCAAAAAGTGAACGATAATAATTAATTATAGACGGATCATACTTGTGTTACTCATAATCATACTAAAGGAAAGCGAGAAAAGAATATATAGAAAAAAGTCAGAAACAGAGAGAGAAATGCAATTTATCAATACTCAGAAATCTGAGTATCAATCATTTTGATCCTATCATGTACAAATTATTATATATGCTAGTCTGACTTGTATATACAATGCCAGAAAACGTTAGATTTTAATTGACGTACTTCAGAGATTGATCAAGTATTGCACCGTCATTGCTGTACTATAAAAAAAGTAAAAGTAGAGGAGGAAGACGCACGTTCCCCTTTCGGACTCCTACAATTCCAGTGTTTCGATTGTGCCATGGATAAAACACAGTAACCAATATTCTTATAAAAATAAAAATGTTCTAATTTTTACAAATACTATGTCGTTCTATATCATACTACTAGTTTGCATATATATTAAGCGAAATAAAAGGAAACGTGACAAGTCAAGAGTCAGTTTGATCAAAACGACGTAGTGTCTGTAAAAGTTGTGAACATATGGGACTAAAATTAGATCTCGATTTTCATAAGTAATATCGATCACTATGATCCCGCAGGGCGATTACTCCATTTCGCTTCGTTATCCGTGTGTCTCGGTTTGGTGTATAAGCGGCGTTTGGATACCTTGCTGAGCGGGATGCCTATTGTGGTTGCTAGGTGCCATCATGTGCATCTGGTGTGCCCCGACCGGCGACCTCAGCGACAGATTGTTCAGGTTCACGTTTATCGAAAGATTCGTATTGTTACAGGTGGTGGTCAGGTTGTTGTGATTGTTCGGCGGTGACGTGGCGCCGGCGTTGGTACCCACATTGGTGGCTGCATGAGGCGACAGTCCGGAGCTGTCAGTGGTAGGAGCCGAGGGGTTCGACGAGGTGTTGTGCGAGGCGAAGTCCTTGCCACCGTTGGCACCGCCGGTGCCGCCGGTGCCGCCAGTGGAGCCAGCCGAGCCGCCTGTCACAGTCTTCGAGCACCTTAGGCACTTCGGCAACCAAGAATGACGACGCACGAACTTTCGGTACTCCTTCCTCACCTGCAAGAGCAAAGCAGAGCCCGCCCGACCCAACGAAACGAGTTTAACGGTGCGAGAAAGAACTAAAGGCTTGTGCGAGACAGCGTGCAGATGCGTTATGTGCATCTCTGCGAGTCTGATACATGGACATTGCAGACCGCAGGCTGCAGACGGCCTCGTGACGAATAGCCGTGATACGCGACTAAAATTTGTCATTAGTAAAATAAAGAAAGAATTATGCTTTTTTAAATTTTATTCAGTTTGCGTCCTTTTGTCATCTTTAGGTAAAATTCAGGAAGCCGTCTGCGATTATTTGTGAAAACGTTGTGCGATCTAAATTCGCAGGCTCGAAATTATAGTGCCGGTTTAACTAGAAATAAAAAAAATATCGGTGCTTCTCGCGATGATAACAAAAAAAGTTCTCAAATTCTTGAGAAAATTATAATGAGCCCACTACGGGTGACAAAAATACGCAAAGTAAAAGCCAGTAACTTGTATTGCGCTTTATTAGACTTTATTGTACAGCGCTTCGTTAGACAAATCATCTCCATGTTCTGATTTTCATGAACAAAACAATACGACGCTAACATGATGATAATTATTCCAGTAATCTTAATTAATATCAATCGTGATCGACATATTAAACTTAAGCACTAGAAAAAATTCTTCGAATTTTAAGTTAATATAAAAATTAATACAGAAGTGAGAATGATTTATAAAAAATTATCACAACTCATTGCATAATCTCATTCTAAAGAAATATAAAGTTCACATAGTTTTATAAACAACAATGTAACATTTTATTACAAATCATTTGTAAAAAAATATGTAATAAAATTGATTAGGTTTTACGGGAAGCGTATCGATGCAAAATTATTTTTATAAAAAATTACGCGGTATCACTCTTAAGTAAAAATTATTACATATTTTACGAATAATTTCGGATTTTGTTGTTTGTATCTCTCTCTCCGGGAACATCTGGCGATGTTGCCAGAATAGTCTAAATCAAGGCGGACTTCTGTGCCCCGACGTATTCCCTTACCTTCTCGTTCTGTACGCAATGGAACACAAAGATAAACAGCCCCTGGAGACTATTCAATACGGTGAAGATGTACGCCATCACGACGGATTCTTGGTTTAAGTAGAGAAGCCCGAACGTCCAGGTCAGACCTAGTAGAAACACCAGCACGATAGCGCCCCGCAGCCAGGCCCTGATCAGAAGATACGGAATAATAAATTACAGGAGAACAACCAGCCAAGTTTCTGTTGTACAATACAAATCGCGATGGCGGCGCTTAAAGGGGATCAACATATTGTCGCGTGAGCGCTCCGATGGAACATGATTTTCGCGGAAGAAACGAAATCTCGTAAAGCGTCATATTTGAGGAAACTTCGGATTGATTAAGCTATTTAAATTCATTCTCTTTTCTAAATTCACTTCACTTCACTTCAGCGAGTTAATAAAAAACTTAAACTGACACGTGGATTCGATAATCTTTGATAAAAATAAGAGGATATTTTCTGCAGCTCGAAGGACGAACGAAGAAAATGTTATTAGTACAAACACGATAACTTTATAGATTTCCAATTTTTCGCTACAATCTTGCAACACTGTATTCGTTATAATTCAACACTAATTGAATTGATTACAAGTTGTAACGTCGCAATCCACTAAATTTGGAAAATTCATACATAAAAAAGAAATTTATAAGGAGAAAAAAATTCATTTATTTCATTTTTAAAATAGCAGTAACTTTCATTTTCTTTTCTAAATTATTTACCACTCATAGAAAAAAATATAAGGATTGCAGCCGATCGATCCCAGGCTTTCTCAGTCGATAATAAAATATGGTTTATGTTTTAATGCTTGACATTAGTATTATGATGTTGAAGAGAAAAAAATAGTGCAACCGTCACATAGCATCGTGAGACACGCGAGGATTCGTCGAGAGTTTAAACATTGCGACATTATGCTGAATCGGAGTATTTATTTTTGCGAACGCGCCACTTTGAGCGTCGCCGGGATCGCGGTATTTTATCTAAACCGTTATGATTAGAGCGTGTGGCGATATAAAGGTAGGCGGATATATCTCTACGGTACTTTCACGTCTATCTACTTGTAAATCAGGCGTAATACCCGAAACTAAGGAGAATACTACATGCAGTGAATTATCGTGTCTACTCACAGGAAATGCAAGTGCCATAAATATATAATAAGTGTGTAGTTATTATACATATATATACATGTGATCGGTCGCAGTGTTACAGAAATCATACATTTACATAAAAATTTTGCAATATTGTTGTAAGAGATAACTAAAAAATACTAGAAATGTAAATCTTTGGCAAAAATGACTTTATTCAAGAGAAGAAATTAAATTATCTATCACTGAAATAAATAATAAGATTAATTGATACATATCGTATTGTCGGTCATAATTACAAAAATATATTTTTGCGATATAAATAAGCGATAAGCACGATTGAAATACTCTCAGAGATTTACAAATTATTAAATAGAGACAATACACTGTTTAAACATTTGATTAACTGAAGGAATAAAAATGTATATGGTGTCATATTTTTTGGTAATTTAATCCTTACACAAATAAAATTGTTATTCTTTTTATTTTAACGAATTAATTACTTAAAAATTCGTGAATTTTAAACACTATAAACTGCTTCGCCCTCATATATTTATTCCTTCAATTAATGTATTAGTTACAATACGCACACAAACGCTGTACTGACGTTTTAAATCGCGTTTCCTATGAGTGTTACGATATTACGTGGTGGCGAGTGTTTTGATGTATGATGTGAGAGACTAAAGTCTACAGCTACGTTCACAAAATCAGTGTAATGAGATACTTGGATAGCTTAATCGAAATGAAATAAACTAAAAAAAAAACGGGATGATCAAATGAGACGAGCGAGATGGCGATTAATGATGATGTTAACGATATGACTGGTGAGTAATAATAAAAATGGTAAATATCTTACAAGTGCGCTTGCAATTTGTTGGGAAGAGCATTCTCTTCCTTTCCACTACCAACCAACCACGCCATGCAGAAGAATGTAGAACAGTGTAGACAGAAGTGGGTAGAAGATTTAATACAAAAATGAAACAAGACAGCAGTTAGGTGATTGTTCCGGCACCATTAATTGATTATAGCTTATTCTCTGATTTGCAATGCTCGATTCGCATTACTTATTGCCGAGCACGTAGAAGCACGGCGTTTTCGCTCAACAATGGCAAGTGAAATAATTGATAATTAGTTATGTAAACAAGGAAATATTTAAACACCAGTCATCGCGAAAGATATTATCTGCAATAATCCGAATCGGGATTGCAACAAATTTTTCACTACCATCACCAAATTATTTACGTATTTTCACGATTTTATAAAAATATAGAGACTTACTTTTTTAAATAATAATTTCACACTAATACTGACTATGCCTCCGTTTACAAAATCCTTAAATTAAATATGACAATATACAGGGTGTTTTCAAAAAACGCTAAATAAATTAATATTTCTACACATTCTATATTTCATCTATAGAGTTATCTATAAAGTTTAACAATTCACAGAACAATAACCTTAAAAATTCAAAATCTATGAAATGATAACAAAAATCTGATATCCAACAGTTCGAAGAATTTCGCGTTCCGCATCATTTTTCGAACAATTTAAAATGATTAAAATTTACTCAAAATACTTTTCGATGATATTTAGCATTATTTGGTCACAAAACATAAAATTTCTAAAAAAAAATGAAATAAAACTCAAAATCCTTACGAAACAAATTTACGAATTTACAGAACAATGTATTGTAAATAAAAAATAAGCATAGAAAATTATTTCGATAGTGTTTTTTTAAATATTTAGAATAGCGCACCCTGCATATACTATATTTACGACAATTTGTGTAATCGCACGATATACTCGTGTATATCCTAGGTATCACAGCAATACAGTGGTGTGTCGAACGAACGAAATCTGCGGTCATTCCAAACATAGGACTCAAAACCAAAACCAAAAATTCAGCATGGCCGCCAAAAGATGCGTGACAACAAGATCCGCGTTCGGGAGATCTCTTTAAGCAAGTAAAGCTTGCGAACGTGTAAACCGAAAGCACCAAACAAACATCTCGATTGCTACTCTTCGATGGGAGGGTCAAATCTCGAATGTGACGGACAACGGACGCACTCGACTGGTACACGGTATATACAGTTTACAATTTATAATACTTGACTAAAAAAAAAAAAAAAAGAAACGTACTACTAAGGACCACCGTGCTTACCTTGCGCTAGCCAATCGGGAATGCTCCTTGCTTTTCATAGCCACGGTGGTGTTCGCATGTCGGCACATCATATAGATTGCCATCGATAGAAATACCAGATTTGCCTGCAAAAGATGACATTAAAATCGATCGACGTGGATAGTGTTATAAAATTGAAAAAGAAAAAAGTCACGTTAAGATACGTGATGCGAATGTCTGAAAACGAGTATCTTATATCGCCAACATTTGCACAATGATGTTTTCCTAGTAGATTGTTCAGTTAGTCGATAATGTATCGGTCAATTACCAGTATAACGAGTATCACAGGTCCGACGAAGCTGAAGATGAAATAATTATCTGCACGCAGCCAACAGTACCGATCGGTACCGTAGCTGAGTGGATCGATTATGCACGAAATTGCTACGACCAGCAGCGGTGCGCCATACGCAACCAGATAATACCATCGAAGCCGCGATTTTTCCGCTTCAAATACCTCGATCAGCATCACATATAATTGAAATCCTGTAACGTAATGTCAAAATCAATGTACAAAAAATATATAGATTATATATAAATAAAATAATAAAATATTTCAAATTATAATGTAAATAAGAGACTGGCTGAGTTACCTTCGAGGAACATCCAGGCAAATGCGCACAAGAAGAAAAAGTGCAATAAGCCGGCCACGATGCCGCAAACGATTCTCTGATTAGTTTGGCCGATACCGCAAACGAAAAGTACTTCGGCAATCAGCAGGCACACGCAGAGATTCTTGTGGATCGTCGTTCTGTCCGACTGCAAATCAGGGATCAGGGAGAGTGACAAAAAATTCCATTTCGCCGCGATTGAATGCCGATCGATCGGCGCTCGCGCAGTTATATACATTACCTTCAGTCCGCGAAATAATTGAAACGTGAGAATGGCCAGGACGAGACAGACGACGGAAATGATGCAGCCTATATACGTGATGATCTGCAGGGCAACCTGATGGGCGATGTCCAGCCTGACGGCGTGCACGTCCATCAGCACGGCGAAGTTCGTCAGGTGATTGCATTCGCACACGGTGTGAGTCTCGTTGGTCTTTTGTATCTGGCATCCCTCGTCCGACCAGGCGCTGTGGGAAATAAGGTATCGCGTGTAGAGTAGATAGTCGTTGTTCGTGTATTGTTACTTTTCCATCGGAAAACGTCAAAAACTGTGCAAGGATAGTTTCAATTTTGTTGGCTGTATATACATATATATAGAATATTTATTATATTATATAATTACATATCTACAATTCTTAAATCCATAATAGATGTACATATCATGTATATATATATATGTGTGTGCGTGTTCTTCTTATACAAAATTTATAAAAAATTATGTAATATTAAAAATAAAAAAAATTACATTAAAAAATCTTATTCTGAAATATATCAATTTTAAATAAATCTTTTTATTGAATACCAAATTTGTGTAGGATATCGAATCTCCATAACTATGTTTTAAGGAGAAAGATTGCACGGATTAAATATAATAAAAAATATACTCTTCCTATTCCCGTGAGTTGTTGCAAGTGTTGTATACAGTTCAGTGGAAACACAGGAAGAGAAAATTGAAAATGAAGAAATAAGAGAAAGACTCCTCAGCACTTTTAGTATTGTACAAAGTAGAAATAGGATCGGGCGAGGGCGAAATTACCTCAAGATGTAATCCCAGAAGACGCAAGTGGGGTTGGTGACGTTCTCGACCGCCAGATGTCTGAAATATACCCGAACGGGTTCCGAGAGCTGTATGTGCCGGCCTTTTCCCAAGGACGCCGAGATAACTTTGCTGTTGAGGAGACGGGTGGTGTTCCTTCGCGGCAGTGGCTGGGGATCGTCGTTCATGACGACGGACGGCGGCTCCGCTTGCGGCTGTAGTATCTCCTCGAGTCTGTCAAAGGCCATGAAGACCAGCCGGACGATACCGGCCTCGCTGTTGTCCAGTAAAGCGCCCCTGGTAAGTTCCACGCGATCGTTCGAGACGGTCCACCTTTGCTGGGCGGCTTCGCTCGGGAAAACTTCCAGCTCGTTGCCGATGTTGCGCGCGTCCAGTACGCGAACTTCCATCACTGTGGTGAAGACACGCACGCGATTAATTAAGCGAGTAAGTAATATCTTTTCCTTGGCGCGTTTAACGCGCTCCATGAGAATTCTAACCATGAATTCGCGGAAAATGCGAATTAAATTGCGACAAAACAGTAATTGTTGAACTTTGTACAACGAACATTTATTTTAAGTACACCGAAATTGGAGGTTGTTTCGTGAGGAACGGATCAATAAATCAACTGTTTTCTAATGGTACAAATTATATAAAGTCAGTTTTTTGCATTTCTACTTTTGTTTTCTTTTTCTTTTTTTATGTGGCTCTGCTATCTTAATATTAAACTTGTAACGCCATGTCTTTTTTCAAAACGGCACGGAATACAAAATTTTTATTGTACATATATAGCTTAATACAAAAGAAGTACTAAATATTTTAACAGGTCCAATTTAATCTTGCTAAATAGGTCCTATTAGCTTAATATGTAGATATAAACAAAAAGAAATCGGAACATATTTCATTATTTATAAATAAAGTTATACATAAAATTTTGTATGTATAGCTTTGAAATATAATTTTTAAAAATATAAAGTAAAAGCCGTTATATAACATAATTAATTTAAAAAATATAACATTTCTGCGCAGCTGAGCGTGCCATATCACAAATTGGAAATTACGATAGAAGAAAAGTAATTTTTTATTTTTTTCGTTTGTTATGTACGTAATTAAATAAAATTTAAAAAAATAATTTAATAAAAGTTTTGTTTAATTATATTGTTTAAAATCCGTTAAGAAATTTAGTTGCTCCAAATTTGCCAAGAGATTTATTTATTGTAAGAAAGAACAATGCAAATCTAAGTGTATAATAAATGACTTCATATGTGTGCGTGTCACAGTTTTCCGTGTAAAAATAACACAAAAATGTATACAAAAATGGATTTACATTTAAACGTAGTATTATAGTGTTATTTTTACACGAAAAACTAAATCACCCACACTCACGTATAAAGTCACTTATTACACACTTGGATTTTGAGTGTAGTCTTAACACGCTGTGTAATTTGCCGCGAAAGGAAAGATTAAGAATTGATCGCGGTATCAATCAGTGGCGTTGCCAGGAAGGACTTAATGCAGTTTCGATATTTCTTCTGGAAAGGAGGACGTTACACAGCGTCCGACCGGCTGTCGCTCATCAACTGCCCCTCCCCTTCTTTCCTCTGACGCTTTTTGCTCTCCGCTGTTATGCAGTTTATCAAGCGTGCATCTGATGATGCACGTACACAGCGGCTCAATCAAGCCGCGACGCACTTCCGGGAAGTAAATCAAGTCGCTCGTAATTCCATCGTCGTTTTGTAATAATAATAGCATGCGCCCGCGCCATACTCTCGTCTGGATTATAACGTAATCCGGGCGGGTACCGGAGAATTACGATGGATTCGGATCTGTATTTTATCTATACCGGAGATTACCGGGTGTTGGATGCGCGAGCAATATAAATCATTCGATCGTTTGCAACGTACGCCGAAGGCGAATGTAACGTGCGTCGTTTCCGACTTTCGGAACGCTGAAATGAAAATAGTTATTCCAGAAGAAAGACGATTCTAGTTACGTAACTCCACTGTCGCGAATTCTAGATTGTTTTTCAAAAGGAATGTAAATTGGAATTTTATTAATAACAAACTATATCGATTTACAAATTAATATTATAAATTATGTTTCAAAGATCAAGAAAATTTATAAGTTTTGAAATGTATTTTGTCTATATGTGCGTCACAATTTCCTTTGGTACAATAATTTACTTTCTTTCTTTCATATTTTAAATTTACGTTTGGCAATGTAACAGAAAGTTATAAAATAAATAAAAAGTATATTCTCTCTCTTTAGATCTTCTTTAGATTTTAAATCAAATCCCGTCTTACATTAATGGAAATTGCGAATGAGGTTCTTAAAATAATTTCGACATTATGTTCTGTAATTATCTAGGCAATTGGTTATAAGCAGAGATACCAACTTATTGAAGTTCTTAATGTCTCCTTACGTGACTTGTAAAGGATATAATAAATGCGTAGTCCGATAAAATGTTGTGTAGCAATTACCAATCATCATTAGCAGTACTCACATATGTTTTTGCCTTCATGCATAATGGTCTTCTCCTGCAGAAGCGTGTCGGCCAATAAGAAGGCGTTCTCCTCGAGACCGATCAGCAACGACGTTGCGACCCTCATCTGTTCCTGATGACTAAGATCCTTCCAGGACGCCATTTGCGCCTTGTCGAGCAGATTGCTACCGGTCCTCACTACGCCCTGGAGCAGCTCCGTGACGCTGACCTCCCTCTGATTCGAATCTTGGTAGGTCTTAATGTCCAGGGCCATCTTCTCGGCCATGTTTTTGATGATCTTTGTAGTGATCATCATGTCGCCGCCGTACAAACCGCGGCTGTTGTTTGTGACTTGCGAGAGCTCCCTGCTGATGCCGAGAATCACGTCACCGTCCGTCACACGGTTTTCCAGGGTGGTCAGCCAGACAGATCGACACTCGCTCAGATCTGGATTGTCGCGATGCCAGAAAGCGGATTCTCCGCGGGCCAGACATCGCCATCTGGCCAGACCATTGGCACCGCCGGGGCAGCTTTGTACGGCCACGTCGCCGGCTCTGGTCGTGTTCCAGGACAGGTTCCTGGCTACTACCGGAGGACACACTTGTCTGTAGTCATACCACGGGCTTCCGTTCGAAGTGGACTCCGGATACAGCGTGCTAGGTACTGTAACAGTATGATTCAATCAGTATGACCGCCTTAAGTGGTCGCCTAAGCTAACGACTGCAGTTAACGGCTCGGCGTTAATGCGAAACCGTCGCAGCGTCTTCGGGGACGCAGTTCCGAGTGCAACGACGCTCGAAAATGGAATTTTGGTTATCCCTAGGGGATCTTAATGCTTTGTCGCGATCGAACCAGAATTTAAATGTACCATTTACTCGCCGATTTATAGACTACTAACAAGAATGTGTTTATTGTACAATGACAAAAGCAAACAATAACTAAAACTACAACAGATATTGACGACCTGCCTTTAGACTGTTACCATCACAATAGCTATAATGCTTTGATCATCTATTATGCTTAGGCTCTGATACGAGCGGCTTATCCTCAAAGTCAATTCATAGATCTATAACCGGGAACAAGACATATTGTAGCTTAATTGTTACTGTGTAAAAGCGTTACCATTGTTATCAGTATAAGATTGTCCCACATAATCGGCTAATTGGTTATCGACAAAGAAATTTCAGAGGATCTCTAGATTCTAAGAATTGTCTATATTCGAAGACATGTAAAACGATTTTATAAAAACATCATATATCAAAATGACATTATTTAGTTCTACTGAGATATCAATATTAATGGTTACAAATGGCGCGTCTAATGTTATTATATAATGGCGTTAACTAATGTTTCCCTAAAAAGAAGAGAAAATCTTACCGGTGGTCCTTCGGCTGGTTCTCCAAGGAGCGAAGGTAGATGTTGTCGTGGCTTGAGTGGTCTCAAACATAATCGGCGGCATTGCCGGGCCATTCGCCGGAGAACCATTCGCAGGAGGTATTAAGTCCTGATCTTCCTCATCGACTTCGATGTCGGCAGAGGACCTTGTTGACGTAGAACTGAAAATGGAAGGGTCTCATTATTATCGATGGTTCTCGTACACACCGAACTTTATGATGTAGATCATGCTTGATATAAATTAATGACGTCAAAGAAAATATTTGTTTTCGTTATACAGACAGTGATTGAAGGAAATTAATAGCCAACGCGCAAAATAATATGCAGAGGGAAAACTTTGTTTCAACATTTTCGTTCTGTTATATTTTTATGCGTACACATGATAAATACTACACTAAGCAATGTTTAATATGTAAATTTGATTTCAAATTAAAGTCTGAAATACTTGGCTTTTAATCTTCTGGAACTGGTGAACCTATTAAATACTACTCAATTATAAATCTCTATTAAAAGTGTGTGTGTCAAAGTTTAATTTTCTTTATGTTACGTTTGTAAATTGAATTATTTTTATTAAAATATACTTAATATTTTTATTCTTTTTTTATATACGAGTTATGTCACTTTGATTCTTTGAATTTAATTTAGTGCTTTTTAATTAACATAAGTTAAGTGGGTCTTATAGACTTAACGTCAGTAATCTGTGTTACAAATTTTAGCGTCAAATCCGGAGGGTTAACTAATCGAGTCACATATTTCAGACTTTTATGTTTACGTAGCCCACTGACCTCGCCGGCGTCGTTATCGGCATTGCTGGGGTGGACGGCGCCGGTGGCTGCTGGTGTGGCTGTTGTGCCGGTGTCGTAATCCTCGAGGGAGGCCTGACAGTCGGCTTAGCGGTGCTCCAGACACTCGGCTGCGAAGTTATGAACCACGGCGGACTCGGCCGAGATGTCGTCGTGGTAGTGGCCGCTGCGAATATTTCGTCAAGATCGCTTTAATGAGGACGGGAAAACAGGCAGTATTTTAGGAAGGAGCTTTAGCAGAAGAGGAAAGGGGATCAGGCAGTTCGTCTACGAGCTTATTGGATTCGAAGACTGAGTATAATTAAGAAGGAAAGCGATTTCAGGGGTGCGGGATATTTAAAGCTTTCGAGAGGTCTCTTCGGCTCAGGAATATCGAAGTGTTCCCTCTTCTCTCTTTTACTCCCCATCTCTCTCTCTCTCTCTCTCTCTCTCTCTCTCTCTCCTTTTTCCCCTCAGATTGATATGATGGGAAGTTTATACACCACGTCGAATTTATATTAGACTCTTGTTAATCATTCGATAGAGTTTGAACGAACTGTCTGTACTTTGCGTATATTCCCGGTAGACCGAAGGGAATGAGATATCCGGGGTTCGGAAATACCGAGGTACTCTCATCTCTGTTTTTCTTGGCTCGCTACGTTGGAAGGAGCTTATCTACTGTATCGGATTTATATCAGATTTTTGTTAATCGTAATTATTCGATAGAGCGCTTGAATAAATCTCCTTTCGAAAACATTGAATATAAATATGATAAATATAATAAATAATATTTGAACAATATTTGAATTTTATTAGAATATTTGATGCGCTTGACTGATCGAACTAGTTTTGCAGATATAAAATAATATTCTGATAAAATATAATTAGTAAAATAAGACTTTTAAAAAGAAATAATGCAAAAGAGACATGATAATTTTCAGATTATAACAACTTTGCAATTTTATTAAAATTAAAATTTTAAGTAAAAAATAAAAATATTATATGAGAACAAATAACAAACATACAAAAAATTTTTCAATTCAAAGAGAGAGAAAGATTAGGCCATGATATTCTTACACGTATTTTGATGTTTTAAAACCGAATCCGAAGTCCAAATTGTTCCATCAAGTTACAATTTTTTTCTATCGACGGATAGTTCGATTTTTCGTATTTAACCTACTAACTTGCATATTAATTTTAGAAACTTGCATATTATCATTGAACTTACTTTCATCTCATTTACCTCAGCTTGTATATTAAAAACCAGGTCACAAATAGCTCTAAAAGTATTGAAAAATTGAATTATTGATAAAAAAATTATGATGTGATAGAGCAATTTTAAGAATACCATGGACTAGTTTCTAGATAAAATATTAAATTTTGCTTCGTGTGCCTATGTAATTACTAAGTAAGTTTTCATTAAAGTTATCTCGTCTATGAAAAATCTGTTATTTTTTCCAACATCAAAGACAAAAAAATTTTCAGCTCTTTTTTCAAAAATAGTCTCGAGTTTTATAATTGCTGAGAGAATACTATGAATAAAAATTAAACACTCTGCCAGTATAATATAAATCGTTCAAAAGACACGCGAATAAGATATTCAAACGGTCAAAGAATAGATAGGTAGAGAAAAAGAGAGACAGAGCACAAAAGATTAGACTGCACAGTGCACAGCTCCATATCGTGACTAGATCTAGCCGTGAAGGGGAAAACGATCTTTAACCCAAGATGGCGACGACAGTTAATTCCAGAACGGGATGGTCCACGTATTTCGCGGTACTATCTCTATAGAGGTCATCTTTATTGTCCGAAAGGGTTTGCGATAAGGTAAAATACCAAACGTCGCCGATATTCGTTACGATAATCGCGCATGTAAAGATAAGACGCTCACGTGCAAATCGAAAAGAGAAGAGGAATCGGTTTTACTTCTTCCACGTTGGAAACTACAAAGATCCTGTTCACTAATATATATTGATAGCGTAGAACTGGAACCCGATCTGATGAACACGAGATCGCGAGACACATGAAAGCAACGATGGAAGGCAAATAGGAAAGGCGAAGAGGATTATTTAGGTATCATTATTAGAAAGTAACAACATATTGATAGGAAAGAAAACAAGTTGATATTTGCATTTAATATATATCATATATTTAACATTATATTAAAATGATTTAAATGTTTAAATATTATTTTAATGATTTTACTGGATATTGATTAAATCAATTATGCTGATTGCTAATTACATTAATACAAAAATTCAAAGAAAAAACGTTAATAATAAATAGTGTAAAGAAATTAGTTTAAAAGAAATGTATATTTCAAATAAATTGTCAAAATTTATTTTTCAAATTGCATTTATCTCAAAAATAATTTTTGCTATTTATACTTTTAAAAACATTTATGATTTACAAGTTTTGTGGAATTTTCTGTAAAGTTCAATAACATTAAAAAAAATCACAAGATAAAACTGGCGTATAAATGGAAGAGCTTTACTTACCGGATACGCATCGATAATGCGCTTCGAGATATTTGTGTGTATTCGGGCAAGGATCGCCGAATTGCAGCGTAGACGCAACGATGCTGCAGTTCTGCTGGTCGTTGCACCTGCACGGGGATTCGACTCGCGTTTAACAAAATGACTGTGGTACACCCTTACCACGTGTACCGCCATGGATCCAGCCCTGTTTCTTTCGTTTCCTCGATAGATGGGAAAAAAGAGCAATGCTCTTGGAGAGAAACTTTTTCGCCGAAATTCGTCCATTCAACTCGTATTCTTTTATTGAAGCCTAACAACCTTAGCAAGTTTAGCTTGTGGATATTTTTATTTTTAATTCTTGACATTTTCTTCATGATTCATTCATTTCGAAGAAAAATACTTGTAAAATATTAGTTGTTTAATCGTTATTATTTTTCAATATTAGAAGATTGTAAATATAAATGATTGTAAATTATAAAAAATAAATCAATCAGACAAAATTATGTAGTAAAAAATTGAATTAACTAGAAATAAAGAAAAATTTGATTTTTTCCAACATCAAATAAAATTATAAAACAAAGGTAATAAAAAGTTATTCATGAAAGAAAAAAAATTTTTAAGGTGCATAACGTCTGGGCATATTGCTTAACACCCATGATCAGATCACAAGACGAAATAAATCCTCCTTGCTCTTCAAATTACAATTCCAAGATTATGAGGCTCTTTCGCAGCACGTGAACGAAAGACGAATCCCTTGAGGTTTCTCGCGTAAATCCGCAGTCGCGCAAAAACGACATCAGAATAGAAAAATGTGAACCAACCTAAGCACTGGTAGTGAGCCTCGATGTACTTTCCGGTTCCAGGACAAGGGTCTTCCTCGAAAACGTCGCTGCGTACGTCCACCGAACAGGAATTACGATGATTGCACCTGCAATCGTCACGTGTGCGAAAATGTCACCCAGCGGAACGACTTTACAGAGACTTCCAAATTCTTCGCAAAATCACTAGCTGAGAATCAGGTGAGCACGACGATCCCGCGCGTATTACTATTTCGAGAATTGCATGAGTTTGACTCTCTTTAACAAATCTTTTTTAATATTCAACAAAATATTTATGATATTTTGCTTAGTAATATTTTATAATTTAATATACAAAATTTTGAAAGATATATAATCGGTAGTAATTAAATTAGAAAATTTTTTTCGCTTTTATAAAATTCACAAAGGATTTCACTGCATTTAAAGGATAAACTTGATACACATTTTAGTAGCAAGTGATAATCGATTTACAAAATGTATTAAATCATTTTACATTTTTCGAGCATTTTCAAAAATTTTCGTTCGAAGAACAAAAGCAATTTGTTAGTCTCACTGCAATTTCGGAACAAAAGCTCGGCTCTCCCGTTCGCGGAGCTTCGTTGCATCCGTTATATCACGGTTGTTCGCGTATATGTGTGTTAGTGTGTGACAGTAGGACAATGGGTTAGTAATGACACGTTCGCAGTTTCAGACATAAGCACAAGTTAGGCGCTCGAGGTAAGACATACGAGGATTCTAGTCCCAGATCCGGACAAACGAACGTATGTGTGCATGAGAGAGTACGTATATAGAAGTGTGTCAGCACCGAATTACAGAACCCGCCCACAATATCCCACGGTGTATATATACAAAGATTAACCGCATGCAGAGAATGTTCCTCCATTTCGAATGTGGACGAATTATTTGCGCAGCTTGAGTTTGCGGCAAATTATAAATCGATATATTTATATAAATTCGTATCACTTGATTTTTACATGCGGTAACAATTCATTTCTAGATAATGACCGCGGTAATGAGATCTGGGTTTCTTTATTCAACTAAATTAACATTCATAATGAAACTAACGTTGTTGCGTTAAAACCGATTCGCCGATTCGTTTGAGTGTGCTTCGCCGACTGAAAAGATAACACGGATCTTTTTTTCGCAGAACTTTCCGTTAATTTAGTTTTGCGTTTGTTAAATCTTTCTCTCTCTCATGGCGTATTCTCGTTCACGTTAACAGGGAGAATAATCATGGCGAATTTTACCCGCGTGACAAAGTAAATTTTTCTCGTGCACGCGAAATCGCGACACTTTAAAGGACAAAGCGGGGCGGCTCGTCGGCGATCGTTAGGTCGCGGAATTATTCTCTTCCGAGAGAATCTCGGCAATTCACCGCCGCGTTCTCGCTGTAACTACGGGACTTGAAAATATTTAGTATCGCAGTATTGTCGTAATAAACTTTCCACCCCGCCGAACTGCCGAGCACGCTTGACATGATTTCTCTCCGTTAAAGATTTCCTCGTTGACGGATTTTCAAAGAGGGACTCTCTCGAAAATTTTCCTGCAAAGTACAATAAGGACGGACAGAGTGTTTCATCTCAAGACGAAGGTTTCAGTTAACGTCAAGTACATTTCCGTTCGATATAAATACCGGCTAATTTTTTAAAAATTTGCATAAAGTATAACTTAATAATCGCCCGGCAGACAATTTATTTTATTACAGTATTCTATGTGTTTTGTGTGTGTAGTTATATGAAGAAATCTAAATCGTTCCTGACCTATCGCATTTCTTTAAATGGAATCTACATAGTTCCATACAAAAATTTTTGCTTGAATTATAAAATTATATTGTTAAATATAAATATTTTACTGAACCGATTCATATGTATATATTCACATGTATTTTCACACGTAAAGTATATAAATTTCCAATTTCAATTACTTTTTTGTAAAAACTATACATCTGATCCCTAATCCATTTTATTTGTTAGGAGCGTGATAACACAGAAGTATTACTGTTAAACTTCAATGAACGATTAATTAAAGGAAAATTAGATAATTAAAATGCTTCTTTATTCAATTATGCGGCTCCATCCATTCATAAAACTAAGCATAAAAGTATTTTATATCGAAAAATAGAGGCCATAGTTTACCTCTATGCATAAAAGTCTAAACATTTTATTTGCACCTTTGCTTAATCCACCAAAGTAGTATTCTAAGATAGTACGTGTGAGCTTTGCACCTACAGCTTGTTTATCGCGACGCGACTCGACGATCGTTACGCTTGTTTTAATGGTCCGTTCGCTAGTCCGATCCAGTCCGATCGAGATTACCCAGTGGACGTAAAGGTTGTCGTTGCACAAGTGCAATATCATTCGGCGAAACTGAGATTTAACGCAACAATTTTACGAGAGCGCGATGTAATGCGATACTTCATTCGCAAGTGCGACTGGCGTCGTCGAAATTAAATTATCCTGCTTTGATCCGTGAACGCTGGAAAATTGCCGCGTAATAAACGTTATTTTTTTTAAGCTGTTGAATGAAATTAGGACAGATCCGTGCTCAGTAAATTGCGACTAATTCAATATTAACATTAACTCTACTGTTCTGTTTAAAGTGAAATTTTGTTTTTCAATTAAAATGAAAAACATTCCGAGATTTATAATATATATCTATATATCTCGGAATTTTTTTATTTTAATTAGCTGAAAAACTTAATCCTCTTTTATTATTGTATCATTACATCATTCAAGTTAAGCAGATCGAAAAACTCTTAAAAAATAAAAAAAATTATAAAAAATAAATTTTATATTAACAGAGGAAATCATCAAATATCAGAGAGAAAAAAAATTTTTTTAAATAAAATATTAGAAAAAAATAAATTTTGAAATAAATACATTTTTTTCATCTAGAACCGAACAAAGCAGCAGGATTTAAAAAATGCATTTGTACTGATTTTTTTAAATTTTAAAATTGAAAGTCACTAAAGAATATCTTTGGAGTATTCGATGGCAAAAATTTATTTGAAGCATTTTACTTTTCAATAAATATTTTAAATATTTAAAATGAATGTAACAGTAGATGACTCTTTTTTTCTATCGATTTTAATCCATGTAATATTTGCGCGCAAGAGCCGTTTGCGTAGCAATCATTGTTTGCGTTGGTCGTGTTTATAGTCGCTTTCCAAAATTCTTGCCGACAACGCCGCGAGCAACAAGTCGAAAGCGAGTCAAGAGCGAATCGAAAGCGAGTCCAAAGGCAAGTATATCGGTGTTTCGACACGTAAACAATTGATTCATTGTCAGTTGAACGGTGGTCTAACATATTTTTCTACATTCGCGAGGTGCATTATTCGCGAATGTCGCGAGTGCCGAACGAAGTTAAGCACGTATCACACTATGCATTGCAGATTGAGAATTATGAATTGAAGATTAGAATTCAACCAATCAGAAGGAAACGAATTGAAATGAAAATAATCTAACTGGTTAATTTCTAATCTCTGATTCGCAATCAGGGATTAGCATTTCCTCAATCTCCAATACGTAGTGTAAAACCATATCAGACTAGAGCTTGAGATTGAGATTAAATTTGACCAGTCAAAGAGTAAAGGTTATTAAACTTAATATTAGTTTTCTTTCTTCTGATTGGTTAATTTCAATCTCAATCTCAATTTCTAATCTGATACGGGCTTAACATGGTGTTAACAGACCGCCGTTTGGCGTTCCGGTCGATCCACTCGCAGCGGATCTGGATTCTGGAACGAACGAGTATCTAGGGTCGGCATTCATATAGTTCGTTTTTATTTCAAGATTGCGGTTAGGTATATCATATGGCGAATTCGATTGACTGCATTAGTGTGCACTAGTACATAGCCGTTGCACACTAATTTAATTTGAGTGTGAAAGTGAAATGCAAATTTCGAATTATAAGATACAAGGCATATTTTACGAACAGCACAATATATGATCAGTATAAGTATATTAAAGATTACGCGGTTTAACCCGTTGCTATAATATTTATACTAAATGCACTTTTTTACGTCAATTTATGTACGACGATAGTACGCACTAGTGCATCCAATTCGCTAACTCGAGAGTAATCACCTGATTTTTTTTTGCCTCAATTAAAATCACTCTCACTAATAGCATATTATATATTATTGTTTTCCGATTTATTAGTGTTTAAGAATATTATGAATATGATTTTAATTACAATTTTAAAAAAAAAAGTAAGTAGAGAAACCAAACAAATATTAAATGGAATAAACATGTTAAATATTTGTTATAGCAGTATTTATAACAAAAAATAAAGAGATAAAAAATATAAAG